GAAAATAAAATCATCTGCCCTGAAGATAAGGATAGTGCTGACAGATCAACTTCCAATTCATTGCGCGCCGCTGCATTAAAGATAAACAAAGTTTAGATAAATAAACGTTAAAGTTTAGATAAACAAAGGATATCTATCCCTTTATCCATTTTTCGCAGCAATTCCACTTTTTGTTTAATGAACTTCGAAATATACTTTCGCTTTGTAGATCCTTTACATATTAATAAATATATATCAGAAATTCTATTTGACATAATCGAAAGTTCAAGCTTACTTTTATAAAATTGCTCTAACAGTGTGCAAAAAATAATAAGCCGAATCCAAAAGGAACAACGCAATCTGCAACATTAACTGAAATAGATAATTAGATAATTTTAGCTTATACCGCCCGTTATACATTAAACACGCATGTGTAAATGTATTATGCGCATCCGTAAAGGTATTACGCGCATGCATCAACGCACTGTGCGTTGACGCATGCGCAGAAAGTTTGTAGATTTGAGGTCCGGATTGTGGGTGTCCAGATTAATGACTTTTGACTGTATTACTCTTTTTTTTAATTATTTTTTACAGGATATATTTATTTTAATTTCATTAAATTTAATTTCTTTACCCAACTTATATACTATTTTGCTACATAAAAAATTTTTATATTGCAAAATTTTAAAATTTATCTTTCATGACTTATTTTTCTCCACTTAATTTTCATTTCTGTGGTTAAATTTTAGAATTGCATCACTATACTTATAGTTTAAAACATTTTCAACTTCACAGGCAACATCTCTGCAACTCAACCTAGTTCTTGTCTTTTATTAGTATTCCTATTCCTGCTTTGTAGATCCTGCTGCTCAACTTGACTCTACACTTCACAAGAGCATTCTCCCAAGTCTCATGAACAAGGCAGTTGTGGTTTTTGAATTACTTCATTTATGTTTCAATTTTTATTTCTCATATCCCATCCAAATTTATTTTTAATTGAATTAATTGAAGCAGTTTATTTTTCCCACAATTTTAGGCATATTACCCTTTCTAATATTTTCTAGTTTAGGTTATAAACTTTCCATTTTGTTTTTCCTTTACCAAAGCCATTTATTTATTTCACTTTAAAGGTATTTTCCCTTCTAAAATAAATTTGTTTGCTGAAAATTTTTACATTACAATAGATTTACTTTTGTGTTACAACATTTGTTAGCAGTTTTGCATTTTCTTTAGTTTGCAGCACACCAGACAGATAAGAAACACATGTGTACAGTCCCCCACAGGTTGCAGTGTTCAAGTTGGTACAAGGTGTCAGATGACATGTTCTGACACTGCAGAAGCAATAATTCATTCAGTTATGGCTGCACTTGATATTACAAGATCCTTAACTACAGTGTGAAGGGTTTTACCGATCTGTCCAGTGTCAATGTATTTTAGTAATCTACACTGTGTTTAAAGCCTCTTGATTCTAGGCAGGCTGGCGGACTGATGATCCTGTTGCTCCTTTGATATTCTTCCATCCAGCGGTCGTAAAATAAAATCAAACAAACCAAAAAACAAAACTCACTCTGCCTGCAAACTGTTTTAGAAAGGCATGTACTCAGAATGCTCAGCCTCTCGAATAGACATTCTCTTGCTGCTAGCAAGATCCTCACATAATGAGGACAATAACCTACAATAAATATTTCTATGCCTTCAGTGTTGTTACATATTGTCAATAGAATTTTTCGTAGATTTCTAATAAATGTATATTAACTCTACATGCAATAAGTAATATGCAGCCCTAACAAATGCAATCACAGATACCATATAAAGTCATGCCCTCACAGCAGCACACCTTCAGTTAATACTTTATTTAAATACTTATTTAGTTCCTTGCTTTTAATTTACCCAATGGATTTTCTCTTTTCTTATTCAGATTATTCTAATTTTTACAATATTTGTTTTAGGAGCACCTTATATCTTGATGATGAATTAAAATTTTTTAAATATTTATCTTCATTTTATTTTATTTTAATGGCCTTTCATTGACATTTTAAAATTAATTTAATTTTAGTTGGCACTTTCTTTTGAAATATTTTTAATTATTTCACAAATTTATAATCATCTAAATATATTTCAGAAACGGGGTACGATTGAAAATTCTTTGTCTACTTAAGGGAAAGACCGAAGATTTTTCAACCATTTCTTCTACAAATTTTAATGTTACTTTATTGAGTTGTTTTGTTTTTGTTTTAATTTTGATGTACACAGATTTGATTTATTTAATTAGAACTTCCATCTACTTTTGGTACTGTTTTAGCTTTTTAAGCCTACTTTATTAGTTTTATGCATAAATCAAAAATTTCTATTTTATCATGGCTAATGTCAGTATTTTTTAGCAAAAAATTTTGAATACACAAATGTTAAAGTTGATAAAGAACTTAAGCATAAATTAAGACCTTGTGCATGTCCTTAAATTTTATGTGTTTCTCTTTATTTAGAGCTTACCATTTTAAATAAAACTTACTTTATTTTAAATAATTAAGAATTTGTAATTATGTAATGATTTTTAATGATAAAGAAACTTCTATTATTTAACTCAAGCTAATTTACACATTATGAAAATGACAAACTATGATATAAAAGTGAACATCTTTAACACTTTCACTATTAATCATACGCATATATATAATTTTGCTGGGCTTTGTGGTGCTATCATATGTTAGCCATTTATACATAAGTATGCAATGAAGACTATGTTAACTCTTTGTTTCACATGGTTGATTTCTGAAGAATTTTTTATACTTTCCCTGGCAGTGACTGCGTTAATTTCTTTTAAACATACATCTAGCTCTACCAGATAATATAACTGAACTCATGTTCTTGCAAATTTTAACCACTTATTAGTCCAGTGGTTAGCCCTTTTACATCACTGTGATTCTAGATCTATGCAAATAAAAAAAAATACTGTCAGCACAAAATTTCATTTAAGAAATTTGCTTTGCTAAACACTAAGAAAAACAATTGACAGATGACTAGGAAAAGCTTGCTTCTAGGACAACAAAAATTATGTTTTCACTGTTTTATTTCCTTTCTTATTTTTTTATGCCACTGCTATCATTGTTCAAATCTCAAATATTTGGCATTATAAAAAGGTTGCTAAAGTCAACCTCATTACTTTTATTCAAGACAAATGAAAACACTCAGTACTGGAGGTAACAAACTGATTTTTATAAATGCTGCAGAAATTGATACACTACTTGTTTAAACAGCAAGCGACCATGAAGCTGAACATCACTTTTTTGATGCTTTTTGTTTAAAAACAAAGTTCAGATATAAGAAGCCTTAGATAATTTTGCTGGGTTTTTGCATGCATAGAATTTACACACAGTTCCAGCATATGCTCAGAAGTTACACACTTTGCAAGAAAAAAGACTTTTTTCAGATACTTTCAGATTTTTAAAAAGATCTAGTTCCTAACTTGTTGAATTAATAGAGGACATCAACAGCCCAGAAAAACTAAAAGTGTTATCATTGCCTGCCTTTTCAGAGATATCGTTTTTCAGCTTTACACCACAACTTAACCACATTTAACTTTTCTTTTCATCACGCCTTCAAATCTGTATATGTATCAGAATGTTCTTTTTTTTAAAAAAAAAAATTTCCCAATGAAGTTTGTAGGGTTTATATTTATTTTAACTAACATTTATTTTAAGCTATCTTCCTGTCAAGCCTTTACTTCCCCTAGAATTGCCAATGCCTGAGTATGTAAATTGTAGTAGAACGCGCAGTATATTCAAATTTAGCAGAAGTAAGTTAGTTTAAATAGAAGGGAAACGAGATTGCATGTGTGCTTCTTGAATCAATAACGTGAGGTTGCTAGTTAGAAAGTTAAGAACCGCCGCATTTCGGCCTGTGTGCCTATTCGAGTTCGCTGAATATTTCAACTGCTTAATCAGTAAGCTCGTGAATCCAGCTGTATTTTAGAACGCGGTTAAGTTAGTTACAATTTTAGAGCCACGTAGGTAGTAATCTAGTTATTTATTCATCCTGTCATTTATTTTTAGTTTCGCATTTCTGAATTGTTAAACCGCCGGGTCGGCGTAGTTTGTGAGTGTCAAGTGAACGCAGCTGTTTTTACAGTTCATAGCAGGCACTACCATAGCAGCTGACAAGTTGGGGACACGCAACACTACAAGTTCATGAAATAAATATGGAGCAGTAAGCTTAGTAATCTATAATCATCCCATTAAAGATCCATACTCGCATAAAATAAATACTGTATTTGATGGCATATAAGACGCACCCTTATTTAGATGGCCACAAGGGAAAAAAAGTTTCAATCGCGTGGTTTTTTTAGTTCTCACGTTTTCGTAAAGCCAAATAAAAATTTTGAATGCAATTATACGTATAAAGACTGTGTCCTTCATGTATAAGACGCAGGTACTTTTTTGAGACCAAATTTAGGAAAAAAAGTGCATCTTATATGCCATCAAATACGGGTTATATATATATATATATAGTCTAAAACTCAGCTTCATTCTGCAATTAAAAAACTGGATATGAATTATAGCTGATTTTAATTGTACTAAAAATGACATTATTCTTCATGGATGTTTAAATCTTGCAAACAGATGTTTTTTAATACCATGCTTAGTAAATTAAAGCAAAAAAGTTGTAAAATCTATAAATCAAAAAGAATAATTTCATTTTCACTTATCTGACACAGACTCTCACTAATCAGCATCATGATGTGGATCACAGATTATCAAACAGCATGCAAAAGAATACATTTTCACATTCCTGCATTAAATTTATATCTCTCTTTTAGTAAAGTCTGAGAAAAGAGTGATGCAAAATAGAGAAATAAGAGAAAAAAATAATGCGAAGGAATAAGTATGAAAATTTCCAATGAGATTTATGATTTTCAGATACTCTGAAGAATTGGAAGAACAATTCTTTCCTTCCTTAAGGTTTTGAAAGCTCAATAGGTGATGTACCCAAGAGACAAGAAAGAGAAGAATAGAATCAGCACTTACCAGGTGACTGAAGAATAGCAGCTACTTCTCTGTGTCCTTCATCATTTCTCTCTCTTGCTTTGTCTAAGGGAGTTTTTCCATCTTCATCTCTTAAATCTGGATTTGCACCATGCCTCAATAAAACCTATAATAAAAATTTCAGGAAAAAATATTGTATATATAACACTTTATTTCCCATTTTAACAAGAAAATATGTAACTGTTTCCAATATTCTGATATTAATAAATTATAGACTATAAGATAAAACATTCTCTGGCAAAGAAATTAGTACACGTACAAAAATGATTACATATTAATAACATAAAATTAGAAATAGAAACTAAAAAAATTAAAAAATAATTCAATTTTAAAATTGCATTACATATCATGGATATTTTACTCCAACACTAACATATTTAATATCTGGGATCACAAAAAACTATGATAGAGGTCACAAATGAAAAAGGTTTAAGAAACGTTATCCTATATTACTGCTTTTTGTAATACTCACATTTTATCTCATCAATAAAAATCTTTAATCAAACACACAATCAAGTTTCAGCAGATGCCTTTAAGACATTTGTAGCTCAAGATATGTCATGGCAATACTTTACCTCATTCCACATATTTAAAAGCATCACTAGTATGAGCAATCCTATCACCTCCACAATTTGAGAACATGAATCTGCAGTATCAAGCACAAATGTTTGGTATATTCATTCATTCACAAAACCCCAGAGCAATATTTAAAAAAATCAAGTGCCATACAAAGTAATATAAAGTTTTGAAAACGTCATAGAAAGAAATCTAAAGGGTCATAACAAAAAAAGTAAAATGGTCAGACTGTTTTGTACAATTTTCTAGTTCTCTTTTTCAGCTATGTAAAACGCAACACAATAAGCACACTGATTTCAAATCTATATGTCATTCTTTTTTATCACTCTTTTCCCAGACGCCCTGCATTTAATATGAAATCTTATGAAAATATTGTAAAAAGCATTCATTCCATTACTGCACTGGATTTCGAGGAAGCAATCTAGCACAAATAAAAATGTCACATCAATACAACCTCATTTTTAACAACATAGAAAAGTTACCTTCGCTACACCTGGTCTTCCAAAACATGCAGCATAATGTAATGAAGATGATCTTTGGCCTTTGTTAACATCTGCTCCTCGCTCACACAAGAATTCCACCATTTCTTGAGTGCCAAATGCAGATGCCCAATTTAACAAAGTCTGGCCCACATCATCCATAAAATTCACTTCAATACCTACAAAAAATTAATAACAAAAATTAAAGGCACATATTTATCTGATAAGCACATATAATATAGTTAATCCCAAATTCATACTTTTATTTTTAAATCTCAAAAATTATATAGACAAAGCTTGGAGTGAGAAAGGGAAATTTAAAACAGAAGTCTGCAACATTTTAGGACAACTGAAACAGCATTTTAATAGTAAAGGCCTAGTCCTACGTGTTGCAAGGTCATTTATGTATAATCTAGACTCTTGGGAAAAATAATATCTAAATTGTCTATCTTGCATTTCTACCGCTACAATAACATAAATATGTTAAATTTAATGAAAATTACAAAAATAATAAACATATTAAAAGAAATTAATGCTCTCCATCTCGATCACTAAAAGTCCAATAAAGATTTTCCTTTGTCAATTAACTGCTCATACATAATTTTCAGGAGCATTGTCACATTTTCAGCTACTTTTAATTAAAGCAATTCATACACCTGATCAAATAACAGATCCCCTTTTTCCTCAGCTTCACTAGGCTCTCAATATTTGAATAGAATCAATTTACAGCACAACTTATCAGTAGTCAATAAGTGAACAACATTTCTAAAACTTTAAAAACGTGCATGCAAGGCATAATTTTAATTAACAGTTAAATATAATTAATTAAATTACAATTAATATCTATACACATGAAAAACTGAACAACTAAAAGTAAATTATATACACACTTAATGGAAAAAAAAATTTATTACTCAAACAGAAATATCACTACATCAAGTCACATAACTGAAGCAAATATTTTATATCACAAATAATCATAACAGAAATTAGAATCCATAAACAGTTTATCTTTGTATTACTTTTAAATTCTGATTTCTAATAAGAAATTTTGCAATTTTGTCATTAGTAATAACTTTGATATTTTGGAAAGCCATATTTGAAAGAAAGAAAAATTCAGATCCAAGAGTCTCACACACCACTGAGCGCAAGCGAACAAAGATTCCTGTGTCAGGGTTAGCTGGACATTTAAGCAAACTGAAGCCTCATGGTCGGCTTTCCCAAAAGCTTATCCCGCTTATCCCCAAGCCAACAGCACTAGGGTCAGGAGACCAGCTAACTGAAACCAGTGAGGGCAATTATGTGCCTCCCTTTTAGCTGAAGCAGAGGCCAAAGAAGAGTGCTGGGGAGAGTCCCTCCCTCTCAATTACCACGACTCTTCTTTCCAATGACATGGGTCTATGTGCAGTGAACACATGGGCAGTTTTCTTGCCACTCGAAAACTAGAGACAAGTTATAACAGTTTCTCATGATGAGCCCAACCTCTGAAGAGGAAAATCACAAGGGAGAAGGGAAGGATAAAGTTATGGCTAAGAGGAGGGGGGCAGAAAAGAGAACAGATCACTGGGGCTCCAGGATTGTGACACCCATCACTGATTATGTCCATGGGAAGATTTATATTATATTTAGATGAAGTACCGGTAATCTGGAAAACTGTTAAACAAAAATGTGCAAGTTTATCAACCATGGAAGCAGAGTATATCGCCTTAACGGAGGCAGCAGAGGAATTAATGTGGATGGAAAATGTCTTACAAGATGAAATTTTAAGTAATTTAAGAGAATGTAACTATTTTGTGATAACAAGTCTGCCATTGATTTTTCTAGATCACCAATAGAAATCGCCAGGCTAAGCACATAGACATAAAATATCACTTTATTAGAAGTAAATGATGGAGTGTTTGACCTTGAATTATCACCAGTAAATTAAATACTGTGGACTTATTTACGAAGCGGCGATTGCTGTTATTTAAGGAAGTTTTGTTTTGATGTTTCAGCGTTTAAAGACAATAAGTGTTTTTATATAGAATGAACTATGAGCTTCTGTAATTCTGTGTTTTTGTCTCTGCATGAGGAAAAGAGGGCCGTTTGTGCAAATTTTGATCGGAGGTCAATCGACGGTAAGCTAACGTGGTTGCCACTGATTGGCCGATGACGTCAAGATCGGCGGGTTGGCCAAGTATGTATATATGTACGCCAGATGTGTGTGTTCTGTGTTAGCATTATGCTAGTTTTCTTTCCCTCAAATGGTTTTAAATGTAAAGATTACAGTGTTATAGCTTATTTTAATTTATGGAATAAAGCACAAATTTTATATAGATTAGTCTTAAGTTTATTTAAGGGAAGCAAAATATACTTTACCTATATCAACATTACCAAGACATAAAATGTTACCATACTATACTCTTTTATTATTCAATTACTAACACAAAAAAATTGTTTAGGTATCGCTACAAGAGTCATTACTCAAGTTGTCATGTTTTGATAAACATGCGGTGATGAAAGGAAAATAATAATTTGCCACACAGGCATCAATGAACGATGTCTATGTGGTTTCGTTGAGATGTGTGCCAAGGCAGATATGCGCAATGGAGCCCCAATTATTATATAAAATGATTGTTTCTTCAATAACAAAGTATTTTATTTAGTGTTGAAGTGAAATTAAGAATCGGGACTCTCCAGGTGTTTTATTATGCACAGAGGGGGGAATTAAATGTGCATGCATAAAGCCTAGGAGAAAAAACACTGGTGGTTTTGAGGTCCGGATTTTAAATCATTCCTGATAATGGGTGTCCGGATTTCGGACTTTGTAATGCATAAAAACAACAAATGAGTAAATAAAATTATATACAACCCAACAATAATATCAAAAATAATACAATCAATGAGGATATAAATATTTACAACATATGCTTGTAGTTTTATATATAGACGCATCTTGAAAAAGAACTAGGGGCAGTCTTACTGTAGAATAATTTACAGGGCATATGTATTTAAAGTATTAACGAATACACAATTATACTCAAACTGAAAGGAAAACTTCAGCTACTTGCATGTGAGAAATTTCACCAACATATTTGGTAAACTTTTACAGCCAAAAATGACCATAAACCTTCAGAATCAATTTCTAAGAAACCATTAAATAGATGCCCAGTAAGATTATAAATAATGCACAAGTTTAAACCACGAAAAGAATTTTTAATGATATGCATTATCAAAATAATTTACTGATACATAAATCTGATTTCTTTGAAGGATATACAGAAGTCCACGTATGAAAAGTTGTATAAAGCTAAACTGGAATTTTTTCAACTAGAAATAAAAGAAGACAAAGAGCTAACATTTCTAAGATGCATGGGCAGATACAAAATCTATGGTTCCAGACCTGTCAAAATCATATTTTAACTTGAAAGAAGAGCTATCAGAAACAAAAATGATAAATATATAAAATTCCATTGCAGTTGTACACAGCAGTTTAAGAAAATATATGTCAAGTAGAATTCATTCTCATCATTTGAGTAGAAAAATGTAAAAATAAATCTAGAGAAATACTATACTGGCTAGGAATACCAAAGAACCTGAAGACATTTTTGAATTGTTAAACATGCCTGAGTTTCCAAAATGCTAATAGTACACAGCACACAATAAAAAAATATGTATAGTCCTTGGGAAGTACTGGGAACTCATGTTTTTTACTTTCACAACAGAAATTATCTAATAGTTATAGACTATTTTAGCAAACATGTTAAAACAGGATAATTGGAAGATATCAAGTGTAACAGTGATAAATCAGTTAAAAATAGCTTTTTGCAAGGAAAGCATTAAAACCACAAAATAGGATAAAATAAAAATTTTAAAAAGATGTAATCCACAATATACCTGCAAGATGTTTAAAGAATTTCCAAAGAAATGGATTTTATAAACCAGCACTTCAAATTACCCACAATCAAATGACATTTGAAATAGTATTTGAAATATAATTCTGACAATTTGAAAGACATTCAGACCATCAAATGAGTGTTAAAAAACACTGCACTTGGCAATAAGGACACATATTTAGTTTTACTAGAATATCATAAAGTGCTTGTAATTCTTCTCATTAATGAAGATAAATGTCTACATCTCATAACAGGCTTAAGGTTTAAATATCAACTGTTTTACAAAGTGGCAAGAAAACATAAACTGCTCTAAATAACACTTCCAGCATTTAAAAGGCTGCATCATGCAAACAAGACTACCTATCATAATTTTTCATTTAATCATACAAGATAATTTATTTTAATTACAATAGTAGATATTAGTTTTAAAGCTCACCCCCAGAGTCTATGGCATCAATTAAAGCATCAGTATCTTTACTGCGAATGCAGTCTATTAATTGACGATGAGTTCTCTCTCCTGCAGTGTCAACTCGTCGGAGACTTGGTACCCTAGTTGGAAGAGGCGCTGCTTGAGAAGATTTCGGTAGAGCCTTCCTTCCTTCAAATAAAAGCACTAAAAGAAGATCCACTAATCGCATTGTATCCAAAACACATCTAGAAAAAAAAATCATCAAGCGTGAATATGGTAAACACTTGTAATTTTACACTACAGATGGAAATTAACAAATGGGAGAAAAAATGATTCTTGCAAAATATGCATACCCAAACATCCTAGCAGATCTACTTATACGTGCTCACAGAGATAACAATAGAGGGATTTTTTTCTAATGGCGGGCGCTTGCCTATGCCGCCATTAGACACTCTTAAGACCAGATGTGGTGGTCTCTTTATTATAGAGGCACATAATAGTTGGGCCATCATTACCTCCTATGAATGGACATGCAATTTACATGCATGCATTCTCCGGAACTTGGGCCCATTAGTATCGCAGTCAGGCTTTCCTAACCACTATACTGTCTAGGCGGCCCCAATATAGGTAGCACATGTTATATTTATCAAATGGCAGTCTGTTGGCCACTACGTCATTAGGCTGCATGTTCTCCAATATTTTTCCACAAGACAATTAAAATGCTATTATGCGAAGCATTCATCAACATGAGCATCTTAAGATGAACACAAAATACACACAGAAGAGTTGACAATATTATAATGGAATAAATGGGCATGGAGATTGTTGTACCCAGCCAACAAGTAGCTACCACAGCTGAAACCATCCAAAAGAAGATGAAAATTGGCACTGGACACACCCGGAAGGCTGAGCAGACACAGCGTGAAAGGACTGTCAGAAGATTACTTTAATCTCCACTTTTGGAGATGAAAAGAGGAAATTCCTATTTGATTTCTGATTTCAATAGCAACCTCTTTGCCGCTATATGATTTACCTCTACACAGTGTGAGGGTATACATTGTAAAGACACTTTACATTGAATTCTCAAGCAGAGATCTACACTGATGTGAGAGCTTTTATTCTCCTGATTAAATGATAAAGCCTGAAAAGCAAATGTTGAATCCAAAAGGATCTGACCTCTCAAAGGTATCCTAGCGAATGGAAAGTTGCTGAAGAGTTACATAGAATGATTCCAGCTCATCATCAAAATGGGTTGTGACATTTCCAGCTGGCAAATCAAAACAAAAATAACAGCCCCAGCTCCTTGAATAAAGTGCTAAGAGAACCATCTGTATAGATGTGAAGCAATTCATAAGTAGGATAGCAATTGTAAACAGTTTCTAGAGCAACCACAGTGCTTCCGGACAGAAGTCTGACTTCCTTATTTTCTGATTTAGGTACTATCTCACATCATGGTTCATGCAGTCCAAGGGGTTAACAAGAGAGAGTAAGTTAATTAAATGGAAACAGTCAGTATCATGCACACACTAGATAAAAACTCCTTTGAGTTTTCAGGTTACATTCTTGATTGTGACTGTAGTCTCACCAAAAAGAAAGACAAACTGTTATAAAGAATAGTTGCATCGTTTTTAGTCACATTAATCAAAGGTTGGTCTTCTCAATAGCTGCCCTGCCAGCACAGGGGTGGCCTTGACTAGTACAGAAATAATTCAAAAACATGGTTTTGAAAGGCTATAAATCAACCTTATCAAAAGAAGGGATCAACACATGCCAGTTGAATATTTTATAAGTTGTATTTAAAGTTTCTTTGTCCATTTAGCCCCATTTAACTCCAGCTAGTCATTTAACCCTCTAAATAGCACCAGTTTGTCAATTTTTTAACATCCTAAAAATTGCTAATTTTTCTACACCAATAGCTGTAATCTTGAGTTTCTAGGGGTTTATTATTATTATTATTCACAGCAGCACTACCCCATGAATGTACAATATTTTGCAGTTATGAAATTAATATACCTCGTTCAAAGATGTCGCATTTGAAGATTCATAAATTCTATATGACAGGAGACACAAAATCTGCAAATATATGGCATACATATGCTGAAGCTTACATATTTACTGCATTTCATTCAAAACTTAAAATTAAGAGATTATTTATGCAATTTTAACACCAATATATAAAATATACCATTCCCCATACTTACTTTGCCAATAAATGGCTCAGGATGGAAAGTTTACTGACAGGAAAAGTTTTTACACATACAAAGGCATTTTAGTTTCTTTTTATACTTTGCTTACTCCAGTGAAGATTTCATTCGTCTCTGTTAAGCTAAAATTTAATTTCACCACTTCACCCTTTCCCCCCAAGAAAAATTCACAGATTTCAAAATTTTCCTTTGGCGTCCAAGCACTACACAACTATACGAGTTAAATGTGGCATGTTACCCCCAAAAGAGACTACTTCATGTTTTCCAAAAACCTAGAATACAGCAAAAATCAAGAGTTGATTGATGCCTAGTTTTTTTCATGCTGTCTCCACAGCGAGTTGTAATATGACGATACAAAAGAGAAGCTCACTTACAAACACCAGAAATAGGAATGCACTTCAGATCCACCCCTTTTTATCTGGTAGTGAAACGGAAAATCTGCTGATTTGAAAGCATATTTTTATGCTTTAGGGGATCATCTTAGTTAATTTTAGCTGAGAGTCTACGGAACACAAGGGAATTTTCCCCCCAAGTAAGGATAAACGCAGTCGGTTTTTGAATAAGTCTTCACAGCTGGTGACAGGGGTGCATTTCTAAGGCCCATTTTAGATGGAATACATTTATCTTTGGAAGGGAAAAAATCAACTGGTTCCACAGTGCCCATAAACTAGACAACTGAAAAAAAAAAAGGCTGCGAGATGTGTTAATACTTCATTTCTATCGAAGAGATATTTTACCTGGGCAAAATTATATATTGCTACCTTATTTATAATAAAGTTAAAATTGGAACCTGCAGAACCCAATGGGCTGAAAATTGAAATAAGGGCCTTGACGTCTATCAAATAAGAAATCATTTAATGGATTTTCTTACCTAACAAAATGATGTATTACAAGCTGTATTTAAAAAAAAGGGGGGATCTTACAGTGCCTGATAATCGAAAGTGTATCAGGGGGTGGAGAGTTCTTGGAATCATAGAATGAAGCATGTTCTTTTATACATTTTAGACATTCTAAAGCAATATAATTTCAAAAATAAAACTAATTTTTCAGCTGAGTCACAGCGTTTTACTTTTCAGCTGAGTTACATTTCCTTGTAACGTTATATTAGTTCAGTTACAGCATGATTTGGTTATGCATGTTATATTTGTTAATTTTTTTATAAAATAATAATATTGAATTTAAATCATTTTCAAAAGCTTTTTACACATATTTTACACAAGTATGCTCAGCTGGGTGGCATCATCGTTTTCATATCTTCCTGGATATACCAAATTCAATCAAAATATTTAACTTCCATGTTCAAATTTCACAATTTCACCCTTTCCCATAAGAAAAATTCACAGATTTCAAAACTGTCCTTTGACGTCCAAGCATTACACAACTATATGGGTTAAATGTGGCATTTACCACCGAAAGAGACTGCTTCATGTTTTCCAAAATCCTAGGATGCAGCAAAAATCAAATGAGGTGATTGATATCTTCTTTTTTTTTTTTTTTTTTTTTTTTTTTTTTTTTTTTCCCCATGCTGTCTCCACAGTGAGTTGTAATAAGACGACACAAAAAGGAAGCTCACTTACAAACACAGGAAATAGGAATGCACTTCAGACATGTCTCTTTTTGAAGATGAGTTAGAAGTTACATAGTGCCATATCTGGTGAATATGTGAATAAAGGCATACATACGGTTTATGTTTTCATTTCACAGAAACTACAGAACCAGAAATGCATGTAACATGGAAAATTGGAATGAATTTCCATAGTCATCCGCTTTGTTTTTGAGATCTATTGTTAAAATGCCTTGAATGATAAGAGAAATGTTCAGACCTTAAAAATTTTCCTTCATTGTCAATCACCTGTTTCACCAATTTTACCCACGCTTTCAACATTTTCTTGGAATTCTGGCATTGAAGTATGCATTAATCTCTCTTTATGTTTCAACTACACATGATCCTCATGAAATCAAAAGAACCACTTATAAACAATCTTCATGGTAGCTATAGTATCACCATAATGTGCACGTCTTAAGAATGTGTTTGCAGGTTGAAATAACATTTTTAGTTAATGCATTGTTTGTGATCCAGGACTTAAAGCACACTTTAAAATAATCCCAGCTCAAAACTCATTGACTGTGCTAAAAAAGCTGAAACTCATCACATCCTATCACAAAGTTTTCACTTACTTCATCACATCCTATCACAAAGTTTTCACTTACTGCTTACTGATGATACCCATCCCGTTGGCATTCGGCAACAGCATACATGGAACTTTTAATATTTGATTTTTTACCCCATATTCTGAAGGTAAGTCATACATTAAAAAAACTTTTGTCCAGTATTCTCTAATACTTAATCTAAATATAAATTCTCATTTACAGATATTAATATATGCATATTACATTGTGAAAACTTCAAGGCCTTAGGAATTTATTTACCCTGATCATCCTGCAAACAAGAGATCTCATACCCAAGATCTGGAACAGCAGTTGTTTTTATTGAATGACTGGATATTTTCTGAATGACTGGATAAACCTGTTATATTTTCTTCAGCCCCCATATAACTATATTGAATTCTCTTACTGAAATTTTAGAGGAAACATAAAATCAGGCTCTAGGGAATATTATAAAAACTAGTTGGATTATCACAAATGATGCCCTTTGGCTTTGCACAAGCAAAGTACATATTCATGAAAAAATGTCTCTGGCTCCATTAGGATTTTATGAGAAACTTATAAAATACCCTTTAATTGATTTTTGGAAACAGTATGTTACCCGACCACACAGATCTAAGACACATTTACACAACTTGTTTTAAATGGAAAATAGAGATGCAACTCAAATTTTTCTATACACAATTTTTTCAGACAAAAGCCTACTAAAATCTGACATCCTGTGTTTTTCTTGATATTTTTGACTGGTTTATGAATCCTACATCTGCTCTGACCCTCTGCTTATTTACTAATATGAACATTCAGAATAACCATGAAATGATATATGGTAAGGGCCAAAATTTTGTAGCAGAATTTTTAGAATTTAGTGACACACTGAGCAACAAAATCTAGTATTGGCAAAACTTTTAGAATTTAGAAAGGCACTAGGCAGCAGAATTTAGGACCCACAGAGATTGTATCAGGTAGGAAAATGCCTAGCACCAGCCCTATGTATGATGCATTGATACATATTTAAATTATCAGTTTTCAATTCTTCCATCAACATAAAAATTAATTTCCATAAATCCACTGCTCATGTGATAAGATTAGAACTTTTGATATTTTTCATGCTCGTATCTAGTGAAAAGTTGAGAAAATAA